ATTTTGCTAGTGTATGTATTATGTAATAAGTTGTGATGAACTGAAATAGTTTGATTATAGTTATATATATATCAATTCTTGATCAGAATTTGTAGTCGTTTCGATTCGTGTTATGTTTAGTCAAAATTTGTTATTGCTTCTTAAAACGTGTTTAGTTGTTTATTTTGGTCATAAATGTTTTGTGAGTGTGTTTAATTAATTGTTGAGGAAAGCCATAATTGGGTGGTTTATGTGCAGCTAGGAAACAGAGGAAAGTGTCTTTATGAATTTTTTCTGTTTCTTTTTGTTAGGGACGATGAAGCAAAAAAGATAGAGAAGATTGCAAGAGATGTCTCACTTAAACTGAATTTCACACCGTGTAAGGATTTTGATGGCAAGATTGGACTAGACAATCATGTGAGGGAAATGGAGTCTTTGCTTGATTTTGATAATCTTGGAGTTAAGATTGTTGGAATCTCTGGTCCTGCAGGCATTGGTAAGAGTACCATTGCCAGAGCTTTATATAGTCGCCACTCTGGTAAGTTTCACAATCGTTGTTATGTGGACAAACTTTGGGAAAACTATAAGATTGGTCATGATGAGTATCCTTTCAAGTTGCGTTTACATGAGGAATTTTTTTCAAAAGTTTTGAAACAAAATGGTATGGAAATAAGTCATTTAGGATTGATAAAAGAAAGGCTTCAATATCAAAAGGTTCTTATCATTCTTGATGATGTGGAGAGTGTAGCTCAAGTGGACGCTTTGGCACATGATATTTCGTGGTTTGGTCCTGGAAGTAGGATCATTGTGGTCACTGAAAACAAAAAGATTTTGAAGCAGCACGGTATTAATGTTATATATAAAGTGGGGTTTCCATCATATGAAGAAGCTCTAATGATCTTTTGTCTTTCTGCTTTTAAACGAACCTCTCCACCTGATGGGTTTATGGATCTTGCGTCTGAAGTTGTAGAAATTTGTGACAACCTTCCATTGGCTCTGTGTGTTTTGGGGTCATCATTGCGGGGAAGTAGCCATGGTGAGTGGAATGATGAACTGCGAAGGTTTAAAACATTTCTCGATGGAAGAATTGAGAGTGCATTGAAAGTGGGCTACGAAAGTTTACATGAGGAAGACCGACTTCTTTTTCGCTTCATTGCAGTATTCTTCAATTATAAACGTGTTGATGATGTGACATCCACTTTCCGCAATACTGACGTATTGGATGTTAGACTTGGGTTGAAAAACCTAGTTGATAGATGTCTCATACATATAGATTGTGGTATGGTGGTAATGCACAATTTGCTACAGTTAATGGGTAAAAAAGTTAATTCCAATGAAGAACTTTCCAAACGGAAGATTCTAGAAGATCCCGATGATATTTGTCATGTTCTAAAAGAGGCAAACGTAAGTTTTCTTAAAATTAAGACCTTTTTGCATTACTTCCATGTTATTGTTTAAGCAGATTATCTATGGCCACTAACAAGTTATAGATTGGAATATTTATTAGGGTACTGGATCAGTGTTAGGTGTATCACTGGACATAGCAAAGATCAACAAATTAAATATAAGCGAGAAGGCTTTTATAAGAATGTACAAGCTTCATATCCTAAAAGTCATAGGTTGGAAATGTGACGGAGGCAGACAGTTGTCCATACCAGAGAATATGGAGTTTCCATGTAGCTTAAGGTTACTACATTGGGAGGCATATCCGAGAAAATCTTTTCAGTTTTACCCCAAGAATCTCGTCACACTGAATATGCGAAATAGCAAGCTCGAGAGGCTATGGGAAGAAACTCAGGTTAGTTATGGGAACGGGGATAATTGATATTTGATAATAGCAATATTCACATAACAATGTTTAAAATAAAATAACAAAGTAAGTTCTCATTATGTTCTGCTTTTTCAAATCTAGGAACTACCAAATCTCAAAGAGATGGATTTGAGTTGGTCATCTTGTTTGATGGAACTCCCAGACCTTTCAAAAGCTAAGAATCTGGAGATATTAGTTGTGAATGGGTGCAAAGCTTTGGTAGAGATTCCATCCTCAGTTGTGAATCTTCCTAAGCTATGTGAGTTATTGATGTATAAATGCAAAAGTCTACAGGTCATTCCAACTCTCATCAATTTGGAATCTATCAAATATTTCTATATTGATAACTGCCCACAACTGAGAATTTTTCCAGAAATGCCAACCAACATCACGAATCTCAGGATAGAGACGACAGGGGTAGAAGAGTTGCCTGTATCATTTAGGCATTGCTCTCATCTTACAGAAGTTGAAATATCACTGAATGAAAATCTCAAGAACTTCTCAACACATCTCCCCACTAGTGTAACAGAGCTAGACCTCAGGGATAGTCAGATTGAGAGGATTGCAGACTGCATCAAAGGTCTCCATAACTTAGAAACTCTTAATATAACAAACTGCAAAAGACTTGAGTCTTTGCCAGAGCTCCCGTATTCGCTCCGTGAGCTATTTGCAAGAAATTGTGAATCACTGGAGAGAGTAAGTGGCCCTTTAAACGCTCCAGAAGCAAAGCTCTATTTTAGTAACTGCTTCAGATTGGGTCGACAAGGAAAACGAGCGATTATCCAAAGATCGTGTTTCAAGGGGTTGACTTTGTTACCCGGAATAGAAGTACCTGAAGAGTTTGATTACAGAGGCAGAGGAACTAAGGTAACAATTCCTCGATCTGATTTCAACAGATATAAGGATTCCATTGGTAATCGAGTTAGAGGAGATTCCTCAACAATTGCTCCTTCCGATTTCAGCATAGTCAAAGTTTGCCTTGTGGTGGCGCAAAGAGCCTGGTACTATGAAAAGTTGATTTGCAAATTCATCGGCAACTCAGTAAAGTATATGTCGTTAGATGCGGATCTAGTCCTAGAAAATGAGTACCTATATTTTGAGAGGAAACATCTACTCATATTTTTTATGAGCTTGCCATTAATGGATCCCTCTGAAGTGAGCAGAGAGATAGTGCTTGAGTTCAAGTGTACATCACCAGATACATACGATGATCCGTTTATGGACTGTGGTGTCAAGATCTTGACGGACGAACTAGAGGGAATCAGATGTTGGGGATCTGGAGAAGAAGACTGGCGAACACGTTTATACTACAGACGAGGAAGCAGAAACACCTGACAAAGAAGACAATCGGAATCTGAATTGCTTGACATTAGAAGATCATGAATACGAATCTGTATCAGTGAATCAGGAAGACTTTCTTGGTACTGTGACGAAGTCCTCTACTTGAATCTTTCTCTCAAGCCGGCTTGTTGTCCTTTCCCAGATTCTACGGCGGCGTTTCTACTGCTCATGAAGAAGACCTATGCTTGAATCTTTCTCTCAAGACGGCTTGTCGTCCTTTCCTAGATCAGCACAATCACTGTGATCGCCCTGAAGGGTCGAGGAAAAGGAAATATACAGGTGAAGAAGTAATTGATAAAAGAGATGAGAGCATTGAAATATGTGAATCTCAATCACTTATAGCTGGTACGAGCATTAGTCAGTTTCTTAGAGATGTTGGAGAAGATGATAGAGCAGCTAAGCATATGCGGATAGGACCAAGTAAACATCAAAGTGGTATCTAGGTTAACAAGGTTTCACTGAAGAAGTTCTTTTTTACTTTATGGCTGCTACGATTATGGCGCAAAAGCTAACTCTAGCACGAAGATGACAGTTAAAGTCACAGGTAAAGCTTATAAGCATATTTGTTTCAATGATATTGATGAATTTTTGGTTTTGAAGAGCATTCGGAATTTGAACTGATTTATTGAATGATTCTAAATTTCTTGTGTTGTTTTTTGTTAAATTTCACGTTGCTCTCAAAATTTGACACACCACTTTGTGAATTTGTTCATCTGGGAATTAGATGTATCTGGTTTGATGTTGTGTATAGTGCGGTTATTAGACTTGGTGAAGGTTTGATTATGGTTTTGCAGATTGTATTGAAGGAACATTCTTAGTTCATTTCAATCTATTGAAGGAATTATAGTTTTTCTCTGAAATATATCTGGATAATTATCATATCGGATTTATTTGTTTGTCGATAAAAGCTGAATATATTTTTCCTTCTAATGCAGCACTCAGATTACATCATTTTCTCACTGAACCTTCAAGGTAATGGCTTCATTCGTTTTATACTAAAATCATCAGTAGAAAAGCATTGATGAAGCATCCATCAGTCTAACAAATGCCAAGTCTCAAACAGTTTGGAGACGGCAATGGCATAGGAGCAGAAGCTCTCTTAAAATATCCAATAGGTGTATTATGTGCTAAGAACGTTCTAATTTATCTAGCCACCACTAAAAGAGTCTTCATGTTGTCTCCAGTGATCAACTCTTTCTGCTTTGTTGTGATGTCTTTCACTCTTGTAATAGCAAAATACTAAGCTTTTTGTACTTTATTGTCATAGACACAACGCATCACCAGTTGCAAAGTCGGTATTTTGCTTAAATTGAAGGGGTTTGGACGCATCTAAAGAGATACTTCTTCAAAATACAACATTTGTTTTTTTTTTAAATGTGTAATTGCAACACTGAATCCTAAAACTACCTAGGCACTAGGGGTCTAAAAGTATAGAAATTTAAATCTTACACTTTAATTAATGTAAAATTTTATCATATTGTTTAACAAACTTGTAACTCAAGAGATCAAGAAATATAAAAGACACTTTCTTTTATTGCTTTAGAAAATTCCTCAAAACTAAAGCTCTCAACAATCTCTCTTAATCTCACACCTAAAGTCATAACTCGACTTCTCTATTTATATAAAACCAAAACCACCTAAGTCCTAATCCAAATAGGACTTTACAAAACCATAAAACCATTAACCCTAATCCATATCTCGGTAGGATTATAATAACTTGTCCTTCAAGTCTTCTTCTTTTTCAAGCTTAACTCAACATTCTCCCCCTTAAGCTTGAACACATCCTTCTTCAAGTCTTGAACTCCAATGAACTCTCTCATTTCCCTAAACTTGATCTTTCCTAAAGCCTTTGTTAAAATGTCCGCCTTTTGTTCCTTTCCCGGAACATACTCCACTTCTATATGTCCATTCTCAACACATTCTCTAATAAAGTGATATCGCCTATGTATATGCTTGCTTCTTCCATGGAAAACAGGATTCTTGGTGAGTGCTAGTGCTGACTTGTTGTCCATGAGAATTGTGACTTTTTCACTAGATGAACCAATGATCTCTCCAAGTAAGTCTTGAAGCCATAAGGCTTGTTTTGCAGCTTCCGTTCCCGCCATAAACTCAGCCTCACATGAAGACATTGCAACTGTGTTCTGTTTGTGAGTACACCATGTAATTGGAAAGTTGTTGAGGTAGAAAATGTGACCAGCTGTGCTTCTTCCATCATCTTTATCCACATTATGTGAGCTATCACTATATCCAACCAAACCAGTCTTGTCTCCTTGAGTAAAATTCAAACCAAAAGAGGAAGTTCCACGTAAGTACCTAAGTACCGCTTTCATTGCTGCTCCGTGTGATCGTCTTGGTTCATGCATGTACCTACTTAAAACTCCCACACAATATGAGAGGTCAGGTCGTGTATGAAGCAAGTAACGAAGACACCCAATGTTTCTTCGATATTCAGTTTCATCAATACGTTCTTCCTTTTGTGCTTTAGAAAGTTCAAGACCGGCTTCCATTGGTATGAGAACCGAGTTACATTCTTTCATGCTAGTCTCTTCGAGAATCTTTTCAGCATACCTCTCTTGTTTTAACATGATACCACCGTTATATTGCAGAACTTCTATTCCAAGGTAATACGTTAACAATCCGAGGTCGCTCATTTCAAACTTTGATGCCATTCCCCTTTTGAAGTCAAGTATCAAACTTAAACTAGATCCCGTGACAAGTAGATCATCGACATAAACAGCAACGACTAGTAGATGCTCCTTTTCTTGCTTTCGATATAGTGAGGGTTCCTTTGAACATCTTTCAAACTTCAGCTCCTTAAGAATCGCATTGAGTTTGTCATTCCAAGCTCTTGGGGCTTGTCTTAAACTGTAAAGTGCCTTGTTAAGCTTATAAACCTTGCTTTCACTTCCTTGTATTACAAAACCTTCTGGTTGTGAGACAAATACTACTTCCTTTAGTTCACCATGCAGGAAGGCTGTTTTTACATCAAGATGATGTATCTCCCAAGAATTAGAAGCCGCCAAAGCAATTATAAGTCGGATAGTTTCAACACGAGCCACTGGAGCGAACACCTCGTCGAAGTCCACACCATGCCTTTGTATGTAACCTTTGGCTACAAGTCTCGCCTTATACCTGTTTAAGCTTCCATCTGAATTTCTTTTGATTTTAAACACCCACTTCAATCCGATTGCCTTAGCACCTTGTGGAAGATCAACTAAGTCCCATGTTCTGTTTTTATTGATTGAATTGATTTCTTCTTGACAAGCGACTCTCCATTCTTCCAATTCTTTTGCCTCGTCAAAACTCCATGGCTCCTCGTTTACGGCTAGTAACAATTTCTCACATTCGATCACGGCCAACATAACATAATCTTCCAAATACTTTGGTGTTGTGACTTGTCGGGTTGATCTTCTGGGAGCAACAGGTGGATCGTGGTTCAATTCTTCTCCTTCCTCATCGCTTTCCACCCTTTGATCATCGCTGACATCTTGATTATCATTACTTGATCCGTCACTTAGAGCTTCCTCGCCTCTTCTTTCTTCGTTTTCATCAACTATAGGGTCTTCTCTTATTCCATTATTCCCATATTCTCCAAAGTTAACAGTGAACATTCCTGGTCTCGTATCAAAATTGTTACCTAGAGTATTCCACTTCCAGCTTTTGCTCTCATCAAACACAACATCCCGACTAACCGTTATCTTCTTTGTTGTAGGGTCTAACAGCCGATATGCTTTCGATCCCGGCTCAGTTCCAAGGTGTACTAAAACACGAGATCGATCATCTAGTTTTCTTAGATGTGGAGTTTCTACTTTTGCATATCCGAGGCAACCAAAGACGCGAATATGCTCAATACATGGTTTCCTTCCTTTGTAAGCTTCATATGGTGTTTGTGCGTTTAAGACTCTAGTTGCTACTCTGTTGATGACATAGGTGGCATGTCTCACTGCTTCTCCCCAAAGATAATTTGGAATGCCCATGTATTTCAAAATGCTTCGAGTCATTTCCATAAGTGTTCTGTTTCGCCTCTCCACTACCCCGTTTTGCTGTGGTGAGTATGGAGCAGTCAAATGTCTTTGAATGCCTGAGTCTTCACAAAAACTTTGGAATTCTTGGGAGAGAAACTCTCCACCTCTATCTGTGCGGAATGTTTTGATAGTGGAACCTGTTTCTTGCTCGACAATTTTCTTGAACTTCTTAAATTTTCCGAATGCCTCACTCTTCTCCTTCAATAAGATAGACCACATATAACGAGAATGGTCATCAATCAAGACAAATATGTACCTGTTCTTTGCTGGAGTTGGAGGTGAGATTGGGCCACAGAGATCTCCGTGAATAAGCTCGAGTCGACTTGATGCTCGGAACGAGGTTGCCTTTGGGAAACTGTGTCTTACTTGTTTTCCAAGCAAACATGAAGCACAAGTATCTTTCTCAATCTTGAAATTTGGCATGCCAAGAACCAATTCCTTCTTCACCATTAGTTTCATGGATTCAAAACCAATATGCCCTAACCTTGCATGCCAAGTTGCTGACTCGCTCATTGCTACTAGGTGAAGACATGTCGCCGGTTCAACCTCCAGCAAGACTTTGTATAAACGATTTTTGGAACGTCTTGCTTTGACGAGTAACCTGCCGTCTCGGTCATGTAATGTCAAGAGGTCACCTTTCATTTGAATGTTACAGCCGGATTCGGTGGCTTGTCCAAGGCTGATAATGTTACTTGTTAAATCTGGTATATAGTAAACATTATTCAGAACCTTTGTTCCACCATTGATGTTAAAGAGAACAGATCCTTTCCCTTTGATGTCAATGCGTGAATCATCTCCAAACCGTACTTTTCCAGTCACAGTTTCATCAATCTTAGAGAAATAAGAAAGGTGTCCTGACATGTGATTGCTCGCTCCGTTGTCCAAGTACCATATATTGCTTGCATCACCTTGTGTTGTTAGAGCATTAGGAGTTACATTTTTTTCGTTAAGATAAACGACTTCGTGCATCATTAGTTCTTCTGCTTCATGTGTATCTTCCTCGGTTTTCTTGTTTTCTTCGGCTTCTTGAAGTTTAAGTAACCTGTCGGGACATGTAGAAGCGTAATGCCCGAGTTTATCGCACCGGAAACAGGTTACGGTTGCAGGATCCCTTTGTTGGTAGCCATATCGTCCTCTTCCTCGTCCTCTGCCACGACCTCCATATCTTCCACCAGAGCCTCTTCCGCGTGACTCATAATTTCCTTGACCTGATTGTGCTTCCGAGTTAGCATACATGAGTTTGTCTTGGCCCGGAGCTTGCTCATCTTCTTCATCATCACGCGTTCTTTCTTCATAAGATTTTAGGCGTCCGACAATATCTTCAAAACTTGTAGTTTTGAGATCAAGGTTCTGTTCAAGAGATGCAACAAGGAGGATGTACCGTTTCCGAGGCAGGCCGTTGAGGAGCTTTTTAATAAGTTTTGGTTCCTCAATCGTTTCTCCTAAGGTTGCGGATTTTGAGGTTAGTTCGGTGATTTTACCAACGAAATCATCGATGGTATCACTGTCTTTCATCTTCAATTTTTCAAAATCAGAGAACAGGGTTTGGAGTCGAGCTTCGCGTACACGATCAGCACCCACATATCTAACCTTGATCGCATCCCATACAGCTTTTGATGTTATAAGATGTCCGATTTGCACAACCATGGACTCGGGAACGGACTGGAGGAGCAATGCTCTCGCCATATTGTTCTTGTCATCGTCTTCATCACCGGGTTCAACTGTTTCCCACACTTTATGAACCTTGAGCAAGAGCTGCATACGGATGGACCAAACCGTGTAATTTGTGCTTGTAAGCATTGGGCATTGGATGGAGGAGGAGCTGCTTTCTTTAGGCTTTGTTTGGACATTAACCAACTCAGCCATGTTTTAAACAACCTTGGTTTTGCTCTGATACCAAATATTGTTTAACAAACTTGTAACTCAAGAGATCAAGAAATATAAAAGACACTTTCTTTTATTGCTTTAGAAAATTCCTCAAAACTAAAGCTCTCAACAATCTCTCTTAATCTCACACCTAAAGTCATAACTCGACTTCTCTATTTATATAAAACCAAAACCACCTAAGTCCTAATCCAAATAGGACTTTACAAAACCATAAAACCATTAACCCTAATCCATATCTCGGTAGGATTATAATAACTTGTCCTTCAAGTCTTCTTCTTTTTCAAGCTTAACTCAACATATCATTGTTATATTTATTGATAAAATATTATACCGCCGGTTAAACCAATGTTCACACCTGCCTAAATATTTATGTAAATCACAATTAAAAAACTACATCATCAGATTCTGTATATACTCACATTAGTTCTCAACCTCTAAATATTTTTTGCGACCTCTAAATTAATCATTCAAAGCATTTGATAACATTAGGAGTCAAACCTCATGCTTTCGTAAGTTTATGCATGTGTAACCGCATATACTCCATTTAAATCAACCAAACTCTATATCACTATAATTAAAACATTTCTTTATAATAAAGTAGTGAACCATTGTAGCATAATTACCACTATTGATATAAAACATTTAAAATACAAATATTGTCTCGCTATGTACCACTGGTAAAATCCTAATTTTACTAAGGAGGTGTATTCAAACTAGAAATTTAAGAGTTTTGTAGACATTTTACAAATCATATGTTAATCAATCATGAATTTTAAAAAGTCCAATGAAATCCAGTGTTATTGAACTAAAAATTTAGAAATCTATATTAAATTCCACCAGTATTGAAAATAATTTGTGTGTTTGATTTTTAATGACTAAAGGATTTTAGAGGATTTTTTAGTTAAAAATAGAGAAACCAAAATTTCATGGTGTTAATTGGAATTTAAAAGAATCTTACAAAAATCATATGAACTTTCCTAAAAGCATCAAAGTCATTTAAAAACTCAATAAAACTCAAATCACTCAAAATTCTACTTTGAATACAGAATTGTAAGAGTATAGATAAAACACATTAAACTTTCAAAAGAGTACACTTGAAGACTCGATTGCAGTAAATAAATCAAGAAAGTGCAAATCATTGATCTGTATCAGTTTTGTTCTCAATGTCAATATCTTAGGGTTTTCTCCGCTACTTGACACGCAAGTAAGTAGTTTACTACAATGCCAAAAAAGTCTTCGTAATTTCTTCTTTCTTTACGCGTTTTTATCGGAGCCTACTTGGTTCCTGAATCACATTAACTTACGAGGGAATATGAAATAAATATTATTCTTAGTGGAAGATCAATAATATTCATATATATATATGACAAGTGCTACGTAAAAAAACTAACAAACCATTTTGGAAGTGCCAAAAAAAGTCTTCGAAATTTCTTCTCTCTTTAAAAGAATAAAGAAAGATAGCTTCCACAAATGTAAGAAACTTTCTAACATACTTTTAAAAAAAGTTTTTCGAAGAATACAAAAACATTTTCAAACAATTTAAACAGTTGACATTTGATAGTTTCTTCTCTCTTTTGAAATTTCGTTTACTTTGCTCTTTTGAACACATCTTTGCTATGTAAGCTTCTTTACGCGTTATTTGCATTACTTAACTTTGCAAAGAAACTTCCCATCTTGTCTCTCTATATAAGTGATAGTTGCTATTTTCTCATTTCTTATCTTAACATTTTGTTAACCAATCATGATCATCTCTGCTCATTGCTTCTCCTTCTTTTCTTTTCTTTTTTTCTTTTTGTTTATATTTTTGTTTTTTTGTTTTTTTTTTTTCATGGCTTCTCCTTCTTCTTCAGCTGATATGGATTCTTCTTCTTCTTCTTCACCTGTCATGGCTTCTTCTTCTTCCTCACCTGGAAACTGGAGATACAATGTCTTCACTAGCTTCCATGGACCAGACGTCCGTCAGACACTTCTCACCCATTTACGCAAACAGTTCAGCAGCAATGGGATTACGATGTTCGATGATCAAGGGATGGAGAGAGGCCACACCATTGACTCATCTCTCAAAGAAGCCATTGGAGAGTCGAGGATCGCGATCGTATTGCTCACGAATAACTATGCATCTTCTAGTTGGTGTTTGGATGAACTCTTGGAAATTTTGGATTGCCAAAAGAAAATTGGGCAAATAGTGATGACTGTCTTCTACGGAGTGGATCCTTCTGATGTCCGCAAACAAAACGGAGAATTTGGGAGAGTATTCGATGAAACTTGTGCTCGTAAATCAGAGGAGCAAAAAGAAAAATGGAGCAAAGCTTTGAACTATGTGGGAAACATAGCTGGAGAACACTTCCAAAACTGGTTTGCACTCTCTTTAATCAATTACAACTAGGAGAAAAACAAAACTGTTTTTATAGTTATTTTCTGTTTTCATTACTTTTTTTTTGTGTTTGTTATTTTTTTTTCATTTTTTATGTATAATTTTATTTTATTTGTTTTTTTTACGCATGAATATTTGGTTATAATTTTAAAAATATTTACTATCCTTATTATTGTTTTTTTTTTGTGGTTTGAAATTTTTTTACTTAGTATTTAGTTTTTTGTGTATTATTTTGTTTCTTTGTTAATTGTTTTTTGACGTATGAATATTTAATTTTAAGTAATTTTTGTTAATTTTAAAAAACAATTTTGCCAAATTTTAACTATTTATTTCTGTCTTTAAATATATCACTATAACTTTATATGTTTTTCATTTTGGAATAGTACTAATAATAGTTTTTTTGGTATTTGAAGTAGTAATATGTGTTTTTAAGATTTCATTAAAGTACAATGTGTTAAGTAAGAAGAAAAGGAAGATTTATTTTTGTTTCAGAAGTATGAAGAAGAACTCTATTGCTGATTTTGGTATTTGATGATGTTGTCTAGATCAGTGTGTGGTCTTTGGATGGTTACGATGTTTTGATTAGATCTTTGAATATTAGAGTTAATAGTTTTGTATTAAAAAGTAGATTGGAGATTTTGGGTATGTCCCGTCTCTCTTTCTTTTTTTGGTTGTTCTTTGCGTAGAAGTGTGTCTATATATATTCGGGCTACAGTCATTTAAAGTCTTCTTTAAACTGTTGTTGGTTACAGTTTTTGTTTTTCAAGTTTTCTTTGCCGTTACTTATCATTTAATTTCTTATATTCAGTGACTTTTTTTAATGTGATTGTTTGGTATATTATTTTTTCTTTATAGCTATATCTTTTTAATCGTCTAACGGGGATAGATAAAACGAAACTATGTAGCTTTCTCTTTTTAATGTGATTTTTTCTGTGAAGCTAGGAACAAAGGAATGTTCTCTTAATGATTTTATTCTCAAGAATTTTTTGTTTCTTTTTGTTAGGGAAAATGAAGCAGAAAAGTTAGAGAAGATTGCAAGAGATGTCTCACATAAACTGAATTTCACACCGTGTACGGATTTTGATGGCAAGATTGGACTAGACAATCATGCGAGGGAAATGGAGTCTTTGCTTGATTTAGATGATCTTGGAGTTAAGATTGTTGGAATCTTTGGTCCTGCAGGCATTGGTAAGAGTACCATTGCCAGAGCTTTACGTAGTCGACACTCTAGTAAGTTTCAACGTACTTGTTTTATGGAAAACGTTAGGGGAAGCTATAAGAGTGGAACTGACAAGCATGGTTTGCAGCTGTCTTTGCAAGAAAAACTTCTTTCTAAGATTTTGAACCTAAAGGGCATTAGGATAGACCATTTAGGTGTGATAAAAGAAAGGCTTCAATATCAAAAGGTTCTTATCATTCTTGATGATGTGGAGAGTTTAGCTCAACTAGAGGCTTTGGTTGATATTACGTGGTTTGGTCCTGGAAGTAGGATCATTATAGCCACTGAAAACAAAGAGATTTTGCAGCAACATGGTATCACTGATATATACCAAGTGGGTTTTCCATCAGATGAGAAGCTCTAATGATTTTTTGTCTTTCTGCTTTTAAACAAGCCTCTCCACCTGATGTGTTTATGGATCTTGCGTATGAAGTTGTAAGAAGTTGTTGCAACCTTCCATTGGCTCTGTGTATTTTGGGGTCGTCATTGCGGGGAAGCCATGATGTTGCTGACTGGATTGAAAAAGTGGGGTGAAAAGCTCTCTCGAACAATTGAAAGTTGGATGAGAAAGACTAAACTCTTTTTCTATTATTGGACAACAAGAATTTAGTGGTCTTGCAAACATAATCTTTGTAATGGCAGTGTTCGTTAAAATTTTGTAATAATTCTCCCAATTGCAATAATGAATATATGTCACAATTTTATTAAAAGATTATTGCAAAATAACACGAAAAAAAAATACAAATTGTTGTGATTTTCCATTTTTCTGTTACAAAATACCGACAATAGATACATTTTTGCGACCTTGCAAATTTGTAAGAAATATTCAACAATAACTGATTTATTAGATTAATCTAGTATCATTAGTATCAAAGATACGATTTATTTTATTATGCTTATATATAGTTTAACAATTCCCACACAAAAAAAAAAAGATATATAGTTTAACGATGTGTTTCTATTATTAACACAACTACCAAGCAGCTCCTTAAGCAAAATTTGAACAAAAAGCTAATTTTTTCCTGTGAAACTGAATCACTTTTGCTTGGTTGGCTGCATTTATCAAGGAATGTGAAAACAATTAAATAAAGATATAATATATTCAGAATAATTTATTTTTGAAGTAAGAATGAAGGAAACGATTGGAGCAACCTCACTTTATTTTCTTACTAGTCGGTTGTCCGCGCTAGGCGCGAGAGTTTATTATATTGTTTATGAGTAATTCGTTCGTATCTTATTTCCTACTTATTTTTTTCACTATACCATACTTTAATTTTTTAAAACTTTAATTGTGTTTGTATAGAAAAACTATTGAGTTTTAGCTTCATTAGTCGTTGAGAAATTAAGTGTGTATAGTATAAGTCGAAGTGTGGACGTAAATGGAAGTGCGGTTGAGAATCATTGAGAAAAGTGTGCTATTAGATTTTTACCAAATATAGATCTAGATGTTAATATTTTGGGCCCTTTTATATGTTGGCATGAAATTTGAACATGATTTGTGGGTTGCGGGCGGATTGTTGTATTTTTAATTGTTTACATTATCTCTTTATATATTGTCATAATTTATTATTTTTTGTTTTACGTTTTCCTTTTCTGGATTTGTCGTACTTTATATCTCGTAATGATCATTTATATATTATTATATTTTTTCTGATTTTATGTTTTATATATTTTTTGTTTTTTCATATGGAACAATTTTAAAATTTAACATATTAGTAATTTACTTTATATTTAGTTTGTTTCATTTAATAATACTTTATTTTAATTTTCAGTTTTATGAAATATAGTTAATTTTTTATTTTGTTTATTAGTTTAACATATGTGTTGTATTGGAAACAAATAGTTAAATTCATATTGGAAACTTTTAAAGAAATATTATTTTTATTTTACCTTTTTATATGTTTATAAAAAATAAGAATTCATGTTTCGGTCCGACCTATCTCACTTATCTTAGAAACTTTTTTGAGACATAAATTAGATAGATTTATATTCTCAAAATTTCTTACTTTTTGTTTTATTCCCGTTAAATCTCATTATATTTAGGTTTACATTGTGTAAATATAATCATATATATATTTGAGAATTTTTGAGAAATACCCATTTTGGTGTACTCCTTTTTAAAAATACCCCCTTTATCTATTCATTTTCAAAAATACCCCTTTTTAAATATAAAAGATTATAAAGTTTTATATAGTTTATAAGGTACTTCTATATAATAACTACTACTGGGAGATTCGATACAAATATTTTAAAATGTTTTAAATAGTTTTAAATCGTTATTATAAGTTTTATAAAGTTTTTAAAAGGTTTTTAAAAGGGTTTATACGGTTTGTATAAGGTTTTTATAAGGTTTTTATAATTTATTTTTACGCTATTTATGAAAGGTATATAAAATTTTATACACATATAAAGGTAATTTGTGTATATATTTATAAGCTTACACACATATTTGGATAAATTTCAACATTTTTAGTGGGTTGTTTGATAACGTTTGAAAATGGGGTATTTTTAAAAAGAGTTATATGAAAAGGGGTATTTTTGAAATTCCCCCTATATATTTTAAACATGGGAGATTTGCACAACTAACCTTTATTATGATACCCTTTTCTACAAGTACCCTCTCTAGGTGTTCATTTTCAAAAATACCCTCTTCAATGTACAAATGACTAAATTACCCTCTTTTATTATAACCCATGATGAAAAAAGAATATTCTTCCAACAAAAAGAATATTCCTTCCGAAAAATTTCCCGCCAAAAATTTTCGGAAAAAAATTTCCCGCCAAAAGATTCTGACAAAAAATTTCCGACAAAAATTTTCCCGCCAAAATTTTTCCGCAATTTCTTAAAAAAACCTTGTAAATATTTATAAATCCCTTAAAAAATCCTTTAAAAACCCTTGTAAATCTTTTAAAAGTCATCCAAAACCTTTCAAAACTTGAGTAAACCTTTTAAAACCATTGTAAATCATTTTATAACATTTATAAACACTTGTAAATCCCTTTAAACCACTTATAACCGTGATAAATCATTTAATAAAAACTTTTGTAAACTTCTAAAACCCGTTAAAAACCCTTGTAAATCCTTAAAATCCATTTTAAAGAACTTGTAATACCTTTAAAAACTTTTGTAAACCCTTCAAAAACCTTTGTAAACTTCTAAAACCCTTTAAAACTTCTTGTAAATCCTTTAAAACTATTTTTAAATCTGTGTATGCCTTTAAATATACTTTTAAATCCTTTTAAAAACACTTGTAAATCATTTTAAAAAACCTTTAAAAATCCCTGTAAATTTTTAAAATCCTTTAAAAATTCTTGTAAATCCTTTTAAAATTGTTATAAACTTATAAAAACTTTTAAAAACCATTGGAAATCATTTAAAAACCATTTAAAAACCTTTGTAGGCTTCTAAAACTCTTTAAAAACCATTACAAATCTTTTAAAAACCATTTTAAAACTCTTGTAAATCCCTTTAAAAACCCTTGTAAACCCTATTAAAAACCCTTTAAAAAATCTTGTAAACCCTTTAAAAAAATTTGGCGGGAAAATTTTGAGAAAATATTTTTTTTGCGGGAAAATTTTTGCGGAAATTTTTTGGCGGGAAAATTTTCCCGAGAAAATTTTTGGCGGGAAAATTTTTTCTCGGAAGCTTTTTTGGCGTGAAAATTTTGGCGGGAAAGTTTTTGGCGGGAAATTTTTGGGGGGAAAATTTTTGGAAGGAATATTCCTTCCTTTGTGAAAGAATATTCTTTCAAATAGGGGTAAAATAGCCATTAAAAATTAAGAGAGGGCAAAAATGAAAATGGTAAAAAAAGAGGGTATTTTTAAAAGAGGGTATCAT